GTGGGAGAGGGAGAAGCAGGCTTCCCGCAGAGCAGGGAGCCCGATGCGGGGCTCGATCCCAGGACCCTGGGATCATGACCTGAGCCGAAGGCAGCTGCTTAATGACTGAGCCACCCAGGTGCCCATATGTACTCCATTTTAAAATGGTTAAATAGAGGTACAGGTTTATCAGACACAGTCATCATGTAGAATAAACATGTATCCTAATACAGTCACTCCTAAGGAGATGAAATAGATATTGAAGAATTATTTTGGGACTGATTTTTTTTTTTTATTAGTGTGGAAAGAATAATACCTGCTTTAGGTTTTTACACAAATACCTCCAAAATACACCATATGACTCATAAAAGTGAAATACTCAAAAAGTTAATAAGAGTTTCAGAGTATTTCAGGGAAAATTTTCATTTCCATTCTGTATGACAGGAAAAGGACAAAACCTTAAACATCTGAAATGCAGATATCCTAAATAAAACAATTCTACTAGAAAACTTTATTTGATCACTGTGTCAGTTTGGCTTTTGTAATTCAGTAGAAATTATACCAAATTTAGAGAAATTGGAGGAAAATGATAAAGGACTTAAGAAGTATGAGATAATGTGTTATTTTTCTCAGAGAAGAATGCATTATAGGTCATATACCAACCTTGTGTCATCTGAAATGTTTGGGAAGATGATAAGTAGTTCTTGAGAACAAGAAAAATTGATAAATATTTCAACCTTAAAGAATCAGGTTAGCCCACTGAATAATGTTAACATTACCACAGGGTGTAACACTATGTGCCTCCTTACATGATGCAATAAGAAGTAGTGAACAACAACTATGAAATATTTTCATCCCCTCAAAAAATGGATCCAGAATTTAAGCAAGCCTCTAAACCTAATGACCATTTATAGGAAATCTGAGGGATAATTGAACATGTTAACAACATCATAAGGATAACACAGAGCCAGACAAATCCAGAATATGGGCAATTCGACAAAACAAATGACTGTTTCTTAAATGATATCCCCCCCTCCCAAAGGGGGAATTGTTCCAAGTTCAAAGACACTAAAAGGTACCATCCAACCTAAACCAACTATGAAAAAAACAATTAGGAAAAAGTGAATACCAACTAGATATTAGGAATTGGTGTTAATTTTCTTAGGTGTGAATACCAGTACTATGGTCATGTTTAAAAAGTCATCATATGGGCGCCTGGGTGGCTCAGATGGTTAAGCGTCTGCCTTCGGCTCAGGTCATGATCCCAGGGTCCTGGGATTGAGTCCCGCATCGGGCTCCCAAAGACACTAAAAGGTACCATCCAACCTAAACCAACTATGAAAAAAACAATTAGGAAAAAGTGAATACCAACTAGATATTAGGAATTGGTGTTA